TGAAAGCTGAAGCGATTATGTTAGGACGATGAACCAAGAGGCACTGGGAAGCTGTGATTCTTAGCCTTTATTTTATTATGATAATAATAATAACAATAATAGTAATAATAGTAAAAATAGTAACAATAGTAATATTAATATTAATAATAATCATAATAGTAATAGTAATAGTAATAGTAATAGTAATAGTAATAGTAATAGTAATAGTAATAGTAATAGTAATAGTAATAGTAATAGTAGTAGTAGTAGTAATATATATAATAAATAGTTATCAAATTGTTTCGTTAATAATTTTTTAACAAAAAACAAGCGAAGCAAAAACACTGACCGTTACTCTGAGGTGTGACCTCGACAACACTTATCATGATCAAGGTTATTTTAAGATGCTCCCCTATTGCAACTACGTATTTACCATTCTTTTTTTATGAAACAATGACGGTTTAAATATCGAAAATTTTCGCAGACAATTTTTCAAATTGGAGATCTATAGCGTACCAGTATGACTCATTTCAGGCTTGTCTTGTTCAATTAGAAGCTTGAAGATGGCTGAAAATGCATACCGAGTTGTTGACTTACCGAGGTAGTTTTCATTGGGGCCAATGACGTCGTGGACGTTGTAGTTGTCGGCGGAGGCGTGGTGACGTTCACAGACGTCATCGTAGTCCTAATGGTGGTGAGCATCGTCGAAGTTGGATTATCATCTTCGAGAAGATTCTCGGTAGATGTTCCGGTACCGTTTATCGGTGCCTCGATGCAACATCGCATGCTAGTAGGGCATTGCACATGCTCGAGTACTTCGTAGCATATCAAGGTTGCGAACGCATGCACGCATACTCCTGGACAGTCTGCACTGTTAGCTGTACTCGTTATGGAATCGAGCAAGCCTGTAACATACCGTATCGAAATATTATCCTAACAATGGCTGTTCAATAGAATTATTTGTTTATTCAATGAATCGAGTGCCACATTAGAAATACATAATTGACACAATTTTTTTTCTCAAAGCTTTTAAAAACTGTGTATTCCTACAATCTATGATTAAATAAACCGAACTTCGTTAGAATCCACAGTTACTCGCTAAAATCTTCGAACATCTTTTAACCCGAGAAAGATAACCTACGTCACAGAGGCGCCTGCGAAGACTGTTGATTTTTGTTAATTTTTCATAGAGGTCTAGTGATTTAAGTTTAAAATTACTTAAAATATAAAAAAATATAATATAAATGCATTTTATTTTTACAATAATGCCAAACCTTTAAAATGACTAGATTAACTTAAATAAATATCCATTGTTAGTATAAAATNAGTAATAGTAATAGTAATAGTAATAGTAATAGTAATAGTAGTAGTAGTAGTAATAATAATAATAATAATATTAATAACAATTTTAGTTGCATACATATATGGGACCACCTTTCGTAACACAAGCGACACGAAAGCAATCGCACGAGTATAATCATAAAAGAGTTAGAAGAACATAGAAGAAACAAGACTAATGATAATAAGCAATCATAAAAGCAGTCCCACGAGTATAATTACAAAAGAGTTCGACGACCACAGAGGAAACAAGAAAAATGATAATAAATGAGCAAGAAATAAGAAAAACATTAATATAAGCATAATAAAGTAAAATACATAGCACAATAAAATAGAAGGAAATATATAATAGAAGAATAGAAGAAGCAGAGGAAAGGGAAGATGTTGGAACACGTCGGTTCCGGAAAAAATCGAGAAGGTGTCCGTGACGCGTTGCGACGGCTAGTAAACGGTTTAGACAATGTTGACGACCATTTCGCAGGTAATTCAGTGAAATCGGCGACGTCCACGTGCGCGCGGCAGCCGATCGTCGACAGTCAGCCTCGAAATCGTGCTCGTTCCCTGGAAGCCAGCCGAGCCTGTCGAAGCTCGGGCGACAAATCCAGGGAGCAACAATGTGTTCCCTGGGCACTATTCCGTCAGGCAGGGTCCATCGAAGACGGCGAATAGCCGGCCGGACGAGTATCCAATATGCAAAGTGGGGCTGCGCCACCGGTTTCAGGTACCATCGACGTAACTCACCGGAATATCGTTGCTCCTGACGGGGGTTTTCGAGGGCCGGCAGCCGGAGCGAGCAGGAGGAGAGTGTACCGAGCTGATAGGGGCCACCATTACCCATCCCCCCATGTTCGCGCAACCCCGCGTACAAGCCCTGAACAACCCCTGTGTACAATCTCCGCGAGCGGGATGCCCTGCCGTCGAGAGCCTCGAGCGCCGTCTGCCCTGCGCCAGTCGCATTTCGATCGAGGACTCGCGATGCTAATTAACTGCGAACCGATACCGAGCCGCCAATCTTATCTTTCTAATCGCGAACTCATTCGTCACTGCATGCCGACACGTTCTCACGGTTCTTCTGCTGGAATCTATTTCCAGGAATCTCTTCGAAACGCGTTTCGCAGTCCGATTCTTTCGGATCAACGGCCACGGTGGTCGACGCTTCTTTATCAAGTAGACAGCGGATTAAGAAAAGCGCGAGAAAACAGCGCGAAGAACAACGAACAGGTCGAATACAAAACTAAAGAGACAACGGACGAGTTTAAAGGGATTTCGTCGCATCGTTCTCGACTCGTTGCAGTCGTTAAACGAGGAAGGACATCGTCGTTTCGAACGTGCCACGATCGAGGAAAGGTTGTTACACCGTGGACAGATCGGCCGCCGCAAGAGGAGAACGTCCAATTAAATCGGATCGCGCGGAATTCTCGCAGCGGCTGATTGTTTCCGACATTTCGATCGGCCATCTTGTCCGTGCGTGTCGCGTCTCGCTGCCGGCAGAAAGAAAGCAGCGGCGTTGCAGGAACGCGAGCGGGACGGATCGCTGGAAGCCGAACGAGGTTCGTAAATTACTACGTGTACTCACGTCCCGGTCGATTACGCCAGGTGCGTGTCGTCTAAATAATAAGCGATCGCTGCCGAACGGACAATCTCGTCGGCCGATCTCTCGTCGATTCGTTTGTCGACGAGCCACGGTAATGTCTGGGTCTGACGATAATTGTCGATTCGCCGGTATCGTTCCTGATTTCTCGTTCGTTCGAGTCGAGAGACAGAGAGAGAGAGAGAGAGAGAGAGAAACAGAGAGGAGGGGGGGATAAGAAAAAGGAAAAGGAACCATGAATATTCACGGACAGCCGCCTCCGCCCGATATTTACATATTCAGCAATTAATTCGCTCTTTAATATCGGCGGCCCGGTACCGGTTTCTTAATAGAATTCATCGCGTGAACGGGTTCGAGCTCGGCCGCGAGAGATCGATCGATCGCGGCCCGTCGCGGCGTTAATTCGCACGCCGCGCGCGCTCCGGGATTAACGCCGCCGCTTTCCATGCGAATAAGAGGATACTTTTTAACCTTTCGAAAGCGCGCTGACGTCGTTAGTCACGCGTTCCTCTCCCTCTCTCTCTTTCTCTCTCTCTCTATCTCTCTCTCCCTTTCGATATCCCAGCGCATGGAACCGGCGGGAGCGATCTGCGAACAGCGATCGTTGATCGATCGCGAAATCACGGCTTTTAGAGCGGCAACGGGAATTATTAATCGGCACGATCAGCAACGGGAGAGCGGCGCGCTTCGAATCGCCCGCGGCCACCAGTTAACGAGATGTTAATGATGCACGACTCTTATTATCGCCGGTTATTATTACGCGCGGATACTCGTTCGCCGGCTTTCCGAACAATCGCGAAACTCCTTCTGCGAGTCGCGTTGCCGTATAATCAGCTTTTCCATCGGGCGATCGTTCGTCGCGGTTATTTGCCGGCTGCGAAAATTCGGGTCACTGTAACTTCTAATAAATTTAACGACGGCATTAACGTTAACCGTTAACCGAGCGGATTTTTTAACATGTTATTCGATCTTGTACTCTGTGACGTTTATTCGTCCCGTTTATTTTTACGTGTATTTCATTTGTATGATTTAAAAGGGTGAGCAATATTGTAATAAATAATAATGTAAATCTAAACGCTTCTAAAGATGGAACATAGAGCAATGTTTCGTTACAACGATAGCAAACGTGATACAGTTTAAACCAATTGCGAATTACACGATGACGCGACATTAGAGAATTATTATTCCTTAATAATTATTGCTTGAATTAGAAAGGAAATGAGATGTTGTTAAAAAGCGACAATGAATGCAAATAACGTGTTAATTTTGCCGGTAACCGGTTAACACATTCTGCATGAAACTAAGACGAAGCTGTTAATTTGATAGCTCGATTAAGCTATTATTAATCAAGCTGAAACTGCAAAGTTCAAATTTGTCATAGTGAATGATACCTGAATTCTTTCGCATCTCAAACATCCCATCGACATTCAGATCGTCCGAATATAATACGATAAAATAATATAAAATAATAATATAAAAATATAATAATTATATTATATTATATAATTATATTATATACAAATATATATATAAAATAATAATATAAAATAATAATATAAAATGAACAATTTGGGAAGAGGAGACACGATTATTCGAGCCTTGTGACTCGTTTTTATAATCGTCGACAATTCTTAACTGTAAAAACAAACCACAAGCGTCGAACAATCGTATCTCCTCTTCCCAAATTCTCCATTTTTCTGGACAATCTGAGCGTCAATTAGAGAGACGTTACTGTACACGTTTGGGGGAACGAATGAATTAGGTTCGAATTGCGGCGACTGCCGAAGCAGAAGAGACGAGCAGACTCTTTTCCGGTCGCTATCACCGTTTTGCTGGGTCGACAGGTTCTTATCGCGCATGAGGTAACGGAGAATTCTGGCAGATTTGGAAATAAACCAGGTTACAAGGTTTCCCAATCGGGAGATAAGCGATCCAGCTACCGGGTTTTCGATCTTTATCCGACGAATCTTTCTCCGATCTGTGATCGATCGTCGCCACCGTTCCGTTGATTGCTTATCTATCTCGTCGCTCTGGGAATCGGAGCAAATTATCGATTCCTCTAATCAGTTCATTTTTCTCCAATGTAGTTCTAACATCGTACGTTAGGCTCTCTTATTTGTTGTTACTTTCTCGTTAGATTTTTGCCCGCTTTCTTTATCGTTCTCGATCTTCCTTTGTACTCGGATCAGTCGATGGGGAGGATGGTCACGTTTTCCGCTGCCAATACCTGTCGACGTGGTAATTAAGTCATGCCGGAGCGATAAGTTAAGATAAAGTAGCTCGCCGTTGATAAGGTGTTATTAATGCCGAGGAAAGCTGCACCTTGGTCAGTAGAGACTTCTTCAAAGCAGCATGTGGAAGTCAGCGCGCGAAGTGATTTTTGCTGTTTTGTTAGCTGTAGCTGTGATCAGCGGAGTTCACGGTGAGTGTGGAATTTCCGAAAGAATTCTCCGTCGATCGAGACGATTTCTCGGCTCCTCGAGATCGCGGTCACAGATTCACGTCGATCCTTACGTCGTGACAGATAGTTCGCGGCTCGCTTGACGTAGATAAAAGCTTCCCGTTGAACAAAATTGCGATCTACTTAGTCATCCGTAAATTGCATCGTCATTCGCGAACGTTTTCGTCGTCGTTTACGCGATGCTCGACGATCGCGAGTGGATTATCAGGATGGACGATTTGTTGCAGGGAACTCGCAGGACAATTTGGCGACGTACACGGAGCTAGAGTGGGCCAGTTATGGCTTGACAGGCCGTATTGTGAACGGGACAAAGGCGGTCTCGAAACAGTTCCCTTATCAGGTACACTTTTCGATATCATAGATGAGAGCAGAAATATCTTGGCGATCTTGTTCCAAGCGAAACGTGAAATCGTTCCTTCGGAAACTCTTAGAATAATTCACCTCAGAGTCGTGGAGTGTGCAACAATTTTTTTCGTTGATAAGCATATAGTAAAAATAATATAATATGAGTATAATATAATTCAAATATAAATATAATATAATATATAATATAAATATATAAATAAGTACATAGTGTAAATATATGATATAAATATATAAATATAAATAAATATACAGTGTAAATATATAATATAAATATATAAATATAAATATATATAAATAAATAAATAATATAAATATAATATAAATATAATATATCTTCGCTTCGTAAATTGGCAGTTCGCATTTTTAGGCTCAACAGCGTCCAATTGATTGCTTCAAATTGTTATCTAAAATTCGAAACTGACCTGTCAGATTCACGTTAACCCGATAAAGACGTAGATCGCGCTAATACCCAATATCAAACCATTACAATACCATTAAATCGAAATCGATTTGTTCAGGTCTCGTTGCAGAGGAGCTACAACTCCCGCCACTTCTGCGGTGGTTCCCTGATCGACGAGTACTATGTGCTAACAGCGGCGCACTGTATGTTCCTGTGAGTGGATTAAAAACGAATCAAAGCGAGCGTATCCACGATTTGAATCGTAACGACGTGTTTATCGTCGCGTCGCTGTCACGGGCCGCTCTCGAGTGGCTTGAAACGATAAGTCGCCGCGAGGAACGGGATCGATTTCGAGCTCGATCTCGAATTCACATTTCGTCGACGTTTTAACGGCTTTGTTTAACTAATCAGATTTATGAGTCGGATTGTTTTGTTGCGCAGAAATGGCGAGCAAATATTGCCTTGGACGGTCGCGATCGTCGCTGGGGAACTTCAGCTCGACACCCAGACCAAGGCTGGACAGAGGAGAGGCGTCGACGAGATCTACGTTCATTCTGAATTCAATTCCAGCACTCTGCAGAACGACGTTGCCTTGCTCCATGTACGCCTAGATCTTGTCGATCGATGTTCTCGATCCCGTTTTCGCAGCTCGAGTAATTTCTGATCGGTCGTTTCCTTGCGTTTCAGCTGAAGGTTCCGTTCAAGCTGACCGAAGAGATCACGCCTATACTTCTGGCGGTCGAGCCACCCAAGGCTGACACTGTGTGTCAGGTGTCTGGATGGGGATATACTGCAGAGGTGAGTCCTTTTTCTTTTTCGTTGATCTCAATGATCGATCTTGATCTCGCGTTGTCGTTGTTATTATGCGAAATAATCGGCAGCCGAATGAAAGTTCCTTCCTCGAATTAATTCCTCGAATTATTTTAACACTGGGTTTACGGAACCCGTCGAAATGACGGGTCAGTAATTCTTTTTTAATAAAGATAATTTACGGGAAAAGGTACATTTATCGAGTTATTTATTGAATATGTGCGCTGCTTGCGACGAATATTACATTAACACTCGTCGAAAATGAGAATAAACGTCTCATTGTCGCTTTTATAAATTGCTATGAAACAGCTGCTCTCTTTTTTAGTGCTCTGTAAATCTGGCGTCGATGAATCGACGACTCTTCAAATCTTTTCGCGTTGTTCGAAATCTCACTTTACTGCTTGTAAACGCGGAAAATCCGCAGTCCGTTCTTCGCATTCCAAAACAGATGAGATTCTTAGATTCTAGATTAATCCTTTGCGGACGAGTGTCGGCAAATAACCGCCCAAGTCTTTTTACCGTTTTTTTTATTAATTTATTGATTCAGTGTCACTACCAGAGAAACTAGCAAAGTTTTCCACATATATATATATACTACATAATTGGACATAAAATAATAATGTTATAAATATGTGGAAAACTTTGCGACAGGGAAAGGTATTACCATTTACGACTTACGTAAGGTACGACAGGTATTAGATATTATATATATATAATATTGGACATTATATTATATTATATAATATATAATATAATATAATATAATATCCAATACCTGTCGTCCACAGCGACGCTCGCCCGTCGAGCGGCTTCGTCCGTAAAGGGTTAAACTTTTACAGCATTTTGGAAGATGGAGACTGAATAAACTCTTCGCATGCTAGTGAAGATTTCAGCGTTAATATTTCTCGATATTTCTCGAAATTTGTCCAGAACTATCCCGTGGTCAGCAACGACCTCATGTACGTGGACCTGCCGATCGTAGATACCGAAGTGTGCGCGAAACTTATGGTTAACATCACCGACATGCTGCCCGGCATGTTCTGCGCCGGGTACATGGAGGGTCAAAGGGACGCCTGCCAGGTACCTCTGAAAATTCATTTCCTCCCGAATCGTTGTCTCTCATTAACAATCGTTGCGAACACGGATGGATGTTGTTTAAAAATTCTGGACCCATTCAGGGCGATTCCGGTGGCGGCATGATCTGCAACGGCCATCTGACAGGCGTCGTTTCCGGTGGCTACGGCTGCGCCCATCCGCAAACGCCAGGCATCTACTCGAGCGTGCTCTTCTTCGAGGATTGGATCCTGAAGAACATGAAGGCCCCGGCGATCGTGTCGAAAGACGTAGACGTCTCCGGAACCAAACAGGTGTCTGTCTCCGCTTATCCGTTGTTTATTAGCGTATTCATGAATCTAGCTTACCACTAATAGAAGATTAATTATTTGTTTATACCTATGCTGAAATTTGGACGTTTCAGGTGAAATCTGAATAACTGGATATTACCAACTTATATAATGATAAGAACATCCTCATCTTCACCGCTCTCAATGCGCGATCAAGCGAATGCAGAAGCCAACTTTCAGTTATAGTGTCAATTATCAAAATGAACAAAAAATATAATAGAATCTGGTATAATATTCTTATTGAAATATAATGAAAAAAAAATATATATACATACATGCATATATAAATGCAATAACCTTGTATTTTCTAAATAAATTGCATGTATGAAAACAAAAATAAATAAATAAATAAGTCAAACTCTTTGCAGCCCGGCAACCATCAGGTCTTCGGGATAAGAACCCCAGCCTCTGTTCTCTCTATCTTGCTCGTTCTTTTCCTCTCTCTCTCTCTCTCTCTCTCTCTCTCTCTCTCTCTCTAACTGTCATTCTTTCTCTCTTGGTAAACACCGGGATCCAGCCGGAAGTTGATTGAGAAAGTTTCGTCGGGACTCTGCGTAAATAATTCCGCGCGGACATCGTCGACGAGAATTCAATATCCGGCGTCGGGCTGCTCAGGGCGGTCCCAATGTTTTATTAATAATAATCGAGGAGACGATCTCCATCGGAGCCACTCGGATGATCGTCCTTATCCCGAGTCTCGGGAACACCGATCGACGCGGGAACAAATTACAATGATTAACGAGAACATTTTTATTTCTCGTACGTCCTCATTCGGGAACGCTATTCGCCGTTCGTCTTCGTTCGTTCGCGCGAACGAATTATATTTCACGCGCGTCTCTCTGTTTGTCTCCAGTTTTTAGATTTAAGATTCTTTTGTCCTCAGTTCTCGTATTGTATCTCGTATTTTATCGCATTCTCTCACTGTGACAAAAGGATTATCCCGTCGATAAATAAAGTCATTATTATTATTATTATTATTATTATTGCTTTTGTGCCTAGACTTCGATAGCAGAATGATTAAATTCTGCTTCGATTTAGAAGGCATAAATAATATTCATACTTAGTAGGTTATGACGGAAAGAAGCTAACAAGGTTTCAGAACTCGCAGAAGTCCTCGATGTTCCGGGGCTTTTTTCCCGAAGATCCGTCGAACCGCGATCGACGGGCCAACCGTGGCATCGTAGAACGATCATCCTCAAAAGCGTCTTTAAAGTTCTAACAAGCTCATTATTCCGGCCGGCAATAACCGCGGCCCGGACAAACGCGACTCGACTCGAACGCGGCGTCCCCGGCTTATTCCTCGAATATCCCATTACCCGAAGAGCGATCTAGTAATTGGCTCGGTCGGGACGCCCGTCGATCTTTATATTCCCCGTGGCTGGCAGCGGGGCGGACAAATATTTTCTTGCAATATCCCGGAGGCCGACGAGTCGGGCCGGGCCGGGCCGAGCCGGCCTTTGAAGACCGTGAAATTCAGTAGAAACGGCCGGGAATCGTCAGACACGGCGGAACATGCTTCGACGTTTCAGCGCCGATCTTGCCACCGGCAATACCGCTAATACATTTCCCGCGGTATAGTTCCCGCCCCCGTATTAAGTAGGCTACCGTAGCTTTTCATGCGCGTCGGGCCTACCCGAGATCAAAGCGGCTGATCTACCCTCTCCTCCCCGCATCCGCCGTCGGTTCCGAAAAGTCGCCAACGCTCGTCTACGTTAACTTCGAATCGTCGTGGCGACGCTCGTATTTTATATTCGCAGACGAACCCGAATTTTATGGGGACATTGTTCTTATTTTTGATAGTCTGAAGAGTGATGTAAGGATTTGTTTGCTAGTCAAAGAGCATCTCAAATAATTGAGAATATTTGGACGAAAATCACGTACTTTTGTCTGGACTTAAATCTTGAATTTTCTCTGTACACTAGGGGTATTTGGTTTTTATTTGTTTATTAGGTGATTTCAACGGAAGAATCCTTTGTTAAGAAGAATCATTACACAGTATATTATATACTATTAAATGAAAGAACTATTATAGTTTATAATTAAAGAACTTTATAATTACAATACAGTTTATAATTATGCGAACGTAGTATACAGTTTATAATTATTATATTAAAGAACGTAATTCCTGAAACGTCTGGATACATAGTCATTTGGATTTGGACAGTCCAAGGGAAAAAATAAAACGTCGTTACCGTTGAAATGACACTTAAAATAACTGTAAGCGTCGATTAAAGCATCAATTTTAAAAAATTGAATATTTTTACGAAAACTGTATTTTTCAGCGAAATTCCAAGCACCGTCCAAGTCCCCGACGCGACGAACCTGTCCACCAAATAGATTCCCGAAAGTTTCCACCCCCTCCCGGCGAGGTAATTAGAGAAAAGTTTCTCGAGGCGTTCGATTCCTCCTCGAAAACCACCCCCGGGCGTCCTCTCGAACGCCGTCGCCGAAAAAGTAAACTTTTAATTTATTTAAAACCCGTTCCGGGGGTAAGCCTGCCCCCTCCCCCGGGCCCCTTCGTACCCTAATGAATTCTTATTCGATCCGTGAATTAAGGAGGTCGCGAATGGACCGTGGCGCCGCGAGGGTGCTCTTCCACGGGGCGGGGATTGGAAATCCGTGGGGCGGCGAAGATCATGAAAAACTCGGCTGCGAGCTTAAACAAACTCGAGGGACGACTCCGGGGGGTTCGCCGGCCAAGTGTATCAGAAGTTACGTTTATCAGGTGAAACGCGCAGTTTTCGAGGCCCACCCTTGTACAGCTTCTCGCTCCCGGCCGCCCTCGCAGGCCTCTGTTTTTACCCGGCGAAGCTCCCTTCCCCGCGATTATTCTCGACGATCGATCGCGATACCCCGCCGAGTCGCTGGAAAACGACTATCGGGTTTCAGCTTGGATTAACTTTCGGAAACGGAAACCTGGAACACTGGAATTGCGGTCACGCGAGAACCCTGAAGTCCGCCCCCGCAGCTTTTCACTTTCTCTTCGAGGAGATAACCGTCTTCGAACCGCCCGGAGAAATTGTGGAAACATTTCTCGGATTTACTGGAGCCGGAAAAATTAGTCGGGTCTTTGGAAAGAATGTGAAACGTGTACTTCCATTAACGCTAGATTTACGGAATCCGTCGAAATGACGGGTCACGAAAATTTTTAGATTATTCAGATTGTGTTGTATTTATTCAATGCGCGCGTTACTTGCGGAAAAATGTTGCAATAACACTCGTACAAAATCAGAATAGATGTACTTTATGAATTAATATTCTTATAAATATATTTGTAAACTGTGATATAATAATAATAATAATATAATAATATTATACTAATATTATACTAATAATAATATACTTTACATATAACGTACTTTACATCTAATATTTTACACATAAACTATTTTATATATTTTACACATAATCTAATATAGAACATTTGCTTTTACTGCTCCGTAAATCTATTGTAATTTTAACCAAACCTAAGGGTTGAAATTGGGAATACTGAATTCGTTGAAAAATATATCAATCCCTTAAAATTGCGATCATAAACGTTACAGATATGTCCACCGAAAATTGCCTAACAGAATAATGAATATTTCTCTCGATTTAAGTCAAAAGAATTAGAAATGATAATAATCCAGTCCCCGTAAAGACCACTCAACAGAACAACGAGTATTCCACTTACCGAAACTAAGGGTTGCAATTGTAAAGAGCAAATGGATCGTGAGAACTTCGAATCCCCCCCCCCCCCAAATTGCAATCGGAACCATAGAAAGTGCACGGTACGATCGTCGAACGTGTTGTGTGAGAGTATCCGACGTCGAACGAGGCTCCGAGGGGTATATTTTCGTTAGCAGAAGGGGACTAAACGTTTGTTACGGTGTTGCGGAAACGCCGAGCCCTCGCCGAAATTGCGGCCTCGAACGAAAACCAGCCACTCCATCGCGTTATGGAAATTTCAGGGCTGCAATTATTTCGATCGATCGTCGCGAAGGGCAATCTCTCGGCTCGTTCGCGGTGCTTCTCCTCGGGGGGGAGATCAAAGGAGGCCGTTTTCCCTCTAATTACGGAAAATTTCGTCGTCGGAGGTATTTAGTCCGAGACGAGACGTTTCCCTTGCCGCACGCATACACGCGCGCGGCGGGATCTTCGAAAGGCTGTGCCACGAGCCGCGCAAAGGGACCGATGTGTTTGCGAAAGATCGACACGATTCGCTGATTCTTCATTCCCTTTGGCTGCCTCGACTATTCACGTTAATTGTACGAACTCCCTTTTCCGTGTTATTTTGTGTACCGCGAATGACGAATATTCGAGGCAATTTGCGAGGTTCGCGAGTCGAAGTGTGAATGTTATTATTTGAGAAAATGTTACCTCGCTTTTCAAGTGGAGCGGGAAACTTCGCGAAGAACAGGCTCTGTTATCTATGTTCTCAAAACGCTTTATCTTCCGGAGGTTTATTTCTACCTCGTCTGACCACAGTCGTCCTGATCTACTTTCACATATTTTTCTCTCAATGCATTTGTATCGTTTAACATGTGCAACATTCACGATCTCTCATTTTGTATGAAAATATTAAAATAAATCGAAATAAATTGAATAATATTAATTAAAATTGTATTGAGTAAAATATTAAATAAAATTATAATAAATAATATTACATCAAATTAAATAATATGAAATAAAATTATATTGAATAATATGAAATAAAATTATATTAAATAATGTGAAATAAAATTACATCAAATAATATGAAATAAAATTATATTAAATAATATGAAATAAAATTATATCAAATAATATTACATCAAATAATATGAAATAAAATTATATTAAATAATATGAAATAAAATTATATTGAATAACATTACATCAAATTAAATAATATTAAATAAATTTATATTGAATAATATCAAATAAAATTACATTAAATAACATTACATAAAATTATATTAAATAATATTGAATAAATAACATAAAAATTTTAAATAAATCAATTTTAATCACGTTGCTACGTAAAATCCTATTTCGTAACACAATAATCTATGACTCTATAATCTTTTTCCTAAACTACCCTAACGAAGACGGACAGCGAAAAAGATATGGAATAACATCGAACACGTTAACGTATTCAATCTTCGGCTTTCCTCGACGAAATTCGTCCCAATTCGCTGCGCAAATGTTCCCGAAGCTTCCCAGCTCCGCGATTAATCGTAATTAATCGCCGGATTCGGAGCTCGGTCGCAGAAACAAGCGAACCCAGCGACAGAAATCGTCCGTACGGA